AGGAGGCTTACAGGAAAAGTTACAGAAGTCCAAGACAAGACCAAGACCAAGAAACAAGACACACAACACACAACACTCCCCCAGCAGCAGCAGAAGCAGCAGCGGCTGAACCAGTACAAGACCAAGCAAGGGCGGGTATTGTAGTATGTATACCAGAAACTAGAGCGATACGGAGGGCTACTTCAGAGGTACCTGGCAGGTTGTTTCATCGACGTGTATCGGCATGATGCAGGCCGGACGATTTGCCAGCGAGGGAGATGTGATGACATACATACTATACATACATCAGGGACCACCCGGCTAGCCATGGTGGGGGGCTCTGGGCGGGTGGTTGCTGCTGGAGCTGCGGCGGGGAAACATAACAACATCTCATCAATCATTATTAATTATCAGAGAATTTACACCGAAACTCGTTTGGCTTCTTTCTATATTGAAAGGAATTCTATTTGAACGGCCTCTACCATAAAAACTCATCCATGATGTATGTATCTATCTTTATAGGGTTAATATCCTTTACTATATGTATGTTACTCGTATAGCATTCCGTCCGTGCCTGTGCCTATCAATAGCTGGAAAAGCAGTACCGGGGGGGGGGGGAACAGGATCCAGACTTTCGATGAGCCAGAGTCAGAATTTGAGCAAAGGGTCCAAATCGATTTAGTCAGGTTCAAAAGAAAGGCACAAAACACATGCCTTGACGCTCATTTGTGGGAATTCAAAGAAAAGGCACAGGGGTGGGTTAGGTAGTTCTTATTGGGACTTGTTCCCCTTCGTCAGTCGCCGAATGGTAAAAGCAAAAAAAGAAGAAAAGGAGTTTGGTCAGCGAATGAAAATTAGCGACAAACCGAAAATAGACTCAAACGAAGAAGAAGAGGAAGAAGAAGAAGAAGAAGAAGAAGCCGTGAGCCCATGAGCCGCAGGTCCTGGACGGAAGCAACCTAGCTATATTCATAACCCCCCTTTTACCTCGATAGAGATGTGTGGAAAGAAAGCCGCAGATTTTGTATGTATGCACCTATTACAAACTCAACCATGATGCTTCTGTACAAGGTAGGTAGATAGACGTATGTGCAGTACAAAGAATGTATATGTACCGTGCCTCAAACAGAGATTTTCGATTTTCTGGCGGATTAGGGGGGCGAAATCTCCTATATAATGCCCGTAAACTTCAGTTATCACACCCACCAGGTTTTGTTTCGGGAAGAAAGCCCGTGTCTGTATTAGAAGAAGCGAGGCGAGGAGTTGTATCTATACGTACATGTACATATATACTACATACATACATACATACATACATACAAGAACTCTCGTCCCCCCCCTTTTTGCGGATGGTGGAAAGGAGAATGGTCCAGGTGGCCCGCGAAGGTTGAGTGATGATGCTGATGATGATGTCGACTGGCGGCGAATCCAGGGGAAGGAACTAGGCTAGGCTTGAGTGGGCAGTTGTGCAAGGAACTGGGCAATTTTTGTACCGGATGAGCATGTTGCCGTGTACAGGTCCAGACAAAGTAACTTACAGGTACAGGTACAGGTACATACATGTACAGTACATACATACTAACAAAGAGGGGAAAGCGGAAGGGAGGGGGGAAATAGGGGAAATAGTTCTCTACGCAGTAACTTAGTAGTTAGAGGAGGGGAGGGGAAGGGGAGAAATGGATGTGGATTTAGGGCCAGGAGAGGGAGCTGGCTGGTTGGCTGGAGGGTAATTCGCGCCGGCCTTTTTTAGGGGGGAACCATCCATGCTCTGTGGCTGTGTGGCTGGGCGAAATTCGCTATGAGGGATCGATTCCCTCAGAGCCTTGAATCTCCAGGGCAGGGCCGGGCCCCTCCCCCCTCAAGGTAGGTTGGCGGGGCGGCGGGGGTTAGGTGAGCCCCACGGACCATGGGTGCTCAAAACTCAAACCAGTCCGACCCATGGGATAAGACTGAGGAGGTGGGTACCTGCCGATGAGCTGGGCCTTGTTGGGCCCTGTTGGGCCTTGCTTGGGGCCTTTGCCTCCCCGGAAACTTTGTAACCTATTATTATTAGAGTGCAAATGAAAGTATCTATACCTATTTATTTTTTACCTTCGATATAATAGCGCAGAAAATAGCTAAATAAAAATAAAAATAAACTATGGGGTCGCCCATACATATTCATAATTACAGAAACCCCCCCCCCTAGGACATCAGGACTCTAGAAACAAGTGAAAGAACGATAATGAAATAGAATAACGAGCCAAAGAATCCAGAAGCAGATATTTCCCCAAGTTGGTGTGAGCAAGCTTGGTTTGTTCTCTCAAAACCGGTTTAAACAAATGCTTCAAGATCTCCCAGCTCTATCCGGAGTATTAAAGTTCAGTTTACCGTCCTACTAACTTACGTTTTCTTCACTTTACACAACTAACTCCATCAGAAACGCAATACCTACACAAGAGCAGCAGCTCCAGCTATATTCATGCCACCAAGCGTGGGTATAAGCAGCAAAAAAGCCCCTCAGTCCGAGGCATGCAGAGAGAGAAAGAAGGTCCAGCCCTTATCTCTCACGTACGTCGCCTCCTTCCAACCCCTTTTGTCCGAACCCTATAATAGGTAATATATAATATACTCTGTACTCCCAAGCACTATGTAGGGAGGTACGGGATAGCTGCGCTTCGCCGCAAAAAAACCGCTACAAGCCCTGGAAAGCCCCCCCCCCCCCCCCTGTTCACCATTGCTGTAAAAGTTGGAGAGAATAGAAAGTAAATTTTGATCTAGTGAACTAGACTTTCATCAAAGTATGGTGGAACTGAACATAAAATCACAAAGCTCATTCGCAATGACTAACGATCGAGTACCCTTCTTTTTCCACCGATCGAGACATTTAGCTTAACTTAACAGAGTAACCAGTCCAGACTCGATTTCAAAGGTTTTTCTTTCGATGCAGATGAGATCTGCATACCGTAACTACCATGCCACGCCGCGCTGCATCATTTGCTGCTCTGTTTCCTTTCTATATTTAACTTAAATTCTATGCATGCATTTTTCACACAGACAACAACATTGAAAGAAAACAGCTGTATGCAAGTCTCAGATTGTAGGAGGAATTGAATTATTAATAATTTTAATCCTTGTGATAGTTACTCATGCACTGAGGAAAAATAAAAAATTCCATGTCATTGTTGTTGCTCTGCATGTTACAGCCCACATCAGTCATTTTATTCAGCCCATGCAGTAGTTATTGCTTGTGTCTGCTTTCTCATTATTGAACTGAAAAGAAAAAAAGGGAGAGAAAAAAAACCCATTTAAAAAAACACTTAACTAAATGAAGAAAAATCATGATTAATTAAGTCTTTCATAAAAAATAACAGAGTATATTAAGAGTATCTCAAGATCTCTCCGAGATACTTGATTTGTGGATGTGATATCAGAATACATGAAGATGAATCAAAACATCTTATTAAGAAACATCTTATTAAGAAATAATGTGATTTGAATTAACATAAGCAAATTTGAAGTTCCTTTCTCTGTCAGCTCTCTATTATCATTCTAAATTCTTTTCATTTTAAAAGCTATGTTCCACACAGCTTCTCTGGCTGTATCACAACCAACTATCTAAATCTGAAACTATGCAGAGCTGACTTGGCCTGTGCAAAGTTGGACAGGTTGAGATCGAAATCAGCTATCGCACGAAAGAAACATTAAATTGTCATTTGATACCATCTGGGAAACATCTCTAAAACAGGCAATGTCCATTAACTACTTACAATTTATAAGCATCTAGCAAAAACTTGCTCAATGCAGAAAAGGTACCATCAAAACCCCGATTGCTGAATCATGATAGATATACCTTGAATAATGCAACCTTTTCAAGCAATGGTAGCCCGCCGGGGTTAAATGAGCTTCGAGCTCAAGGAATACATGGGTTTTCGACCATGCAAGGTACAGTTCAAGTGTCCATAGTTGTTCACAGATGTGGGAATTTCTGAAATGAAGAAAGTCAAGTTACCCCCCTTTCCTGGAGTAGAAAGAAGGGTGCTAGTAATCAGGTTCACTGGAAAGATGAAACATGGCAGGCAGATGACAGAAATCAGGAAATGAGGTATCATACCACCATTTGTTTTGCCTCCCTTTTCAAACCATATTTTGAAAATAGAAAGACATTTCAGTCACAGAGGGTAACTAGCAAGGGTAAGTGGCAAAGCCAAAAAAAAAAAAAAAAAAAAAAAAAAAAAAAAAAAAAAAAAAAAAAAAAAAAAAAAAACCTTGGAGGAAAAAGGGAAGAAGGCCTCGAAAAGGGCGCCCCTGAATGAACTCTTTAGTTTAGTTACCGTAAAAAATGGCAGCTGAATAAGCGGTGAAGAGGGATTGTTGATGGTTCATGGGATATGTATAAATGATCTATATCCAAAATATGACTTCACTGCTTACAATGCCGCGAAGGGAAAAGTTCGCCAAGAAAATAGAATAGCGGGGCAAACTGAAAATAATACAATGACCAGAAAGACATCATATTGTCATGATGTATGTATAATAGTATAGTGCTTGCATGCCACGGGCACCCCTCTCTGATGTCGCCACTGGACTGCACCAGGGCAGAATAAGAATGGGGAGATATAGGAGGGTATATTTCTAGCAATAATGGTATGATTGATTGATTGCCAGTTACGGGACCTTGGAGAAAGTTTGTTTCGATTTTGCCGAAGGAAAGGGAGATGTGAGGATGTTGGTGGACAGGGGAGGGGAGGTATTGAGCTGGTTGTTTAAGTGACGCAAGGAGTGGGTAGCCATGTAAAATGGAGGGGTATTGGACAAGACCAGGGACCTATGGATGGATGGAGAGACAACATGGAGCATGTGATAAACATATAAAATTGGTTACAATGTATTATTTTAAGTCTGGGCTACATCATAGACTTTCAGCTTCAAGATAGGCAGATTGCGGGGTCGAGAGAGCAGACATGCGGGCATCCTTGCATATGACGGACGGGGAACGATGTAGTAGTGGAAATGTACCTGCATACATCGATTGGTATGGCCTTGTTTTCTCTTCGCGGATTTAAAACTCTGTTTGTGATTTGTGAACCATATCTCTATATTAATTCAATCGGTAACTGATACAGACTATTTCGGTATCTTAGAAGCGTAAAGGACAGGTTGCGTATATTTAAGACATGCTTTTAGCTTGCGCTTGTAGACGTATCTTCAATTTATAAACCAGTTACAGATTTGTCGTCGGCTCGTTCCAAATGATAGGAATTGTACAGTAGGTACACAAACATGCATTCATGAAGGAGCAACCTAAGCTAACCTTTGGTGGCAATGGAGCCTGGATAATTCGCTCGCTAGTAACATTTGAGAGTGATAAATAACGGATGGTGTGAAAGGGTGCTTTCAGATAAGAGGCAGAAAACAAAGCAGTTAAGACGAATAAAATAAAAAAAAAAAAAAAAAAGCCCTTGAAAAATTCAAAACAATCCAAGAAAACGTTATGGACACCATGTGCGTTGTTTCTACACAGGTCGTCTCACTTCCCATACTCTTACGCCTCTATCTTATCTTCCCAAAGCACCCACAACTGCACTTACCATAACAGCTGCTTCTCGCTCCCAGTTACCCACCACAATAGGACCCGTAGACCCTCCCAGTCTAGTAATGCTATTATTTGGTAGCTGTGAGCCCCGCAGAACGCATTCCCTCACTTGCTCACGGAGCCGCTCCCGGTTAGATCTCAGGGTTCGCGCGGAAACACCCCCGCGATTGATAATCTCTTGAACCCGTGCTGAGAGAGACGATGCCAGTGAGCGCCAGAAGTAGGAAGGTAGAGAGGATGTGTCGAGGCATTGGAGTAATGGTTGGAGAAGATTGTTTTTGGCTTTGGTGGCTGAGTTTGATGTAGACCTGGCTCCGGTTCCTGAGTAAGTGGAAAGGGAGGGGTAATTGTAATTAATGAAAGGGTGAGAGGGAGGTTTGATGGTTTCGAGGAGAGCTTCAAGAGCCATGATGTTCTGACACTTGGCAGATATTTCTTGAAGCGTCCGGTCGAGGGTTGGGAGCATCGACAACGAGCGCGACAACGAAGCTAGCGATGAAGTTAGACATGTATGGATATAGCCTTTCAAGGTTGCAAGGAGTAATTCTGGCTGGAATTCAGATGCCAGAATCGATGTGTGTGGGGTTGGGGATAATAGATATAATGTGGTAATGGCGGACGTAATTCGGGACTTCGCATCTTCGGCTTGCGCGAACGTCGACGTCCCGGAAGCTTGGAGTTGAGTTCCCGAACCACCAACACCAGACCCTACGCCGCCCGTGTCCACCACTAAAGAGGACAGCGAGAATTTATTGATGATTTGTGTTGCTCTGGCCTTGACCGTGCTCTCAGCTGGATTGACCAGATCACTTCGCAGAGTCCTTATCACCTTAACTCGGTCAAGACCGTAACTTTCCTCATCTTCAGTAGTGATAAACATCCGCCGGAGCATTAACAGCGTGTTAGAAGCTCGCACTAGTGCCCTATGATCCTCTACCACTGGCGAACCCCCACTGCCTGCCCCGGCTCCAAAAAGACGGCCAGTCAACTCTAGCATCTGGCCTTCCAGCTGCCTACCCAGCACCAGGCACCGCCCCACAGCCCTCGCCAATCTCACAGTCGCCCATGACCTTTCCGCAGCACCTCGAACCTCCTCCGCACTTTCCCACCGCTCCAAAACATCCTTCTCTAGCCTCTTATATCCCTCCCTTAATGCAGAAACCTGCCCTTCAACCGCCTCCAAAACCCGCTGGCCAGCATCGGTCTGGTCGCGCGTATGTGTGAGGAGAGGAAGTGCAGATTTCGTAGTCAATGTATGGATATGAGTGTCGATTTCTTGAATATCGAAGAGGACACGAGACAATGGAGTGGAGAGGTCGAGTGGGGTATCGGACGGGTTGTTTGTGCTTGTGACAAGGGAGTTGGCGAAAGCGGTAGGGGAGAATGAGGGATCAAGGAAGGTTTCGTAGTCGATGTATGACGGCTCAGAATCAGTCATTGTTGTTATATATACGCCCCTACTTTGTTCCCTTTACTTCTAAAGGCAAGGCAATTAGGGACGTTCATTCTGTTCTAGTTGGTGAGGGGCGGGTTTGGTTCTTGCACCGTCAAACAAGCGCTATTTTGCGATTTCTTCGAAATGAGGAACAAAGGGAGAAATAAAGAAACATTTTTATACCTTAAGTATAAATAAATGATATGAGAAAGTCAAATCGCGGTCTCAGAGTTCTCAGAACTGCTCGCATGTGAATGGTTAGCAGTCGAGCTGTGTCATACTGAGCCCGCAAGGATACGGGATAAGACTAAGAGGATGAAAGAGAAGTACTCGAACAATAAATGAGAGGCACAGATGATTTAGAAATAGAACTTTGCAAGAATAATCGGTGACAGGAAATAGGTTGGAGTCGATGTTCGCAGAAAGGGAGGTTGGGTGAATGATGATGGCATTTGGGGGGGATGCGGTCACTTTGATGAATGAAGCTCCAAAGCTTTCCAAGGTTGGGGCAAATCTGATCACGTGGAGTGTGGAGTCAGCCCGGAGATAACACCAACAGTTTTTGCGACGTCATTTCATTAATCCGATTTTAACTCTAAAGAAAACTGAGCTGAGAACTATATAGGCCAATTTGACAAACAGGTTGATCAAGCGTGCAACAAAAGTTCAAATATTAATATACAGCCTCTATGAGCTGGCAGCGACCCCTTCCTCCGATGTAAAACCTACAAGAAAGCATTGAGCAGCCTCAAACCCACCCCGCACTTTTGGCTTATCCCAGAAGCTAATTCCAACACCAGTATAGTATGGAGGATGGCGACTATTCCTATAATGGTTCTGTGGCATTGATCTCCCCCATTTTCATTGGCTTCTGAGCATGGTTATTTCTCCTTTCCCATCTACACTATGCTACGGTTGGCTCTCAGGAGCATCCATGATCGTACCTTTCTTAAAACTCACTTTTCGATTCAGAACAAACCACAGAAAACGGCGGGAAATAGAATCGAATTTTCAGAAACAGGTATACCTGTCTGTTGGCGCCCCAGGATCCAGCCCAGATGTTGAAGACTTTTTCGTATCAGGTGTCTGTTGCGGAGCGATCATAGATGCCTGGGCCCGCTAACCTCGAATACAACACCCGTTTACCCCTCCCTATCATATCTGTGGGCTTTACGCTGCGTAGTCAACCGGTGAGATGTAGAACCAACATCCTTCATCTTTGCCAAAACACATCCAAAAACTCCGCTTAGATGTATGTATGTACATACATACATCACATGGAGGCTATGTAGGCGCGAGCGAGTAGCCCGACAAGTTCTGTGGGTTTCCCCAGCCAGTAGAAAGATGAATGTTTATAGAACGATATCACACACGCTCAAGTATCCAATATAAAACAAGACAAAGAAATAATAATGAAATGGAAAGGAAAAGAGAGAATAATGCCAAATCTACATGACAGGGCTTTCGTTTCACCGCCCATACATTCCTAACCCGCGCCAATACGATGCAAGACAAGGGAAACACTGAAAGAGACCAAGGGGTATATAAACTAGGAAAAAGAAAGGAACAGAACCCCAAAAAGAGCTAGTCGCGAGGAGGGTATACAACAACCATCAAACAGGATCATCAACTCTCTCCTTCATTCCAACCATTTCATACTCTCCCCCGCCATCCCTATTCCTTCCTCGGCCCCTGCCTCTCGAAAATCCAAAAAAACCACCTCCGTCACCACCGTCCCCATCTCCAGCGGTATCATCGCCTGATCGATTCGTGCCATGATTACCACCACCACTAGCTGACGACGCATTTGCAGTAGACCCGCCGAAAACGATGGGCTGCAGTTCCCTCCACCGGCAAGCCCACATGCCTAGGAACGTCATGAGCGCTGAGCTAGCTACCTGTAAACCCCACCAAAGCCAGTTGGTGGGGAGCGCATGAGTGTAGCAGGAGGTGATAAGGAAGTGTATGAAGTGGATTGTGAGCGCAAAGTCTGGAATTAGTTTCGAGCGGGAGACCCAGAGAAGGAGGAAGATGACACTGTTTTGCGCAACTGGTTAGCTACGCGGGGCACTCTGGAAACAAATAAAGTAGGGGAAGGTTGAGCGGATACATAAAAACAGGGGAAAGGGGCAGGAGGGTTTGAGAGAAGAAATATTTACCCAACAGCGCTGTTAAGCAGCCAGGCGAGCCCGAGCGTCCATCCTATCGTCGTATCGCCGCTAAGGCTGCGCCAGGAGAGTATAAGGTCAGGTGAAAAGGCGGTCCCAGCAACCAGGGCGGTGAAGAGGATGAGAATCGTAGCGCAAGCGTAATAGGCGGCTTGGAGGTAGACGATCTTGGTCACAATTTTAAGCGGAGGAAAATCGGTAAGAGCCCCCGCCCGAGGAGGTCTGCGACGACGTTGCATAAAGCCGGTGAGGAAGGGAGGAGATTTGGTTTGGGTTTATGAATAAAAGGGAGCATCAGACAGAGGCATTTCAGGCTACGGACCGGAAGCCTTGCGCGTTAATGGAAGCGGTATTATACAATGAATGGGGCTGAGCGGTAACCTGCGTAGGTGGATGGATGTTTACGATAAATATGGAGTTGTTAGGAACTTTTGATGATTGTTCAAATCTTGTTGTTGTTGATCCTTCTTATGATGATGCGTAAATAAAGTTGCTGTTGTCATAATCTAGGAGCCGGGAATTCTGGCCATGCCCGCTGATCACGTGATATCAAAGTCGGAGCCAGCAGCAATGACGAAGACGGCCTCAGAAATAATACAAGAAACAAAAAATCACAAACCGGCTTAGATCGCCGTATTATTTTCCTTTCGTCCAATCCATCCGCCAATAAATTGATCCTATCTTGCTTTACTCATCTGTCCTCGTCCCCCCTCGTTCTCCATACAACGCCAACAATGGGCTGGTTCTCATCATCCTCCGAAACCGCCGCATCCAAAGCCGCAGACGGCGGCTCCATAGCCCCCGACCGCTCCTCACGACAACAATGCTACATTGCCCGCGACGCTTTCTTCGAATGCCTAGACGCAAACAACATAGTCGATGCGGTCCGGGAAGATAAAACGGCGCGCGCGAAATGCCCGAAGGAACTCCTCGACTTTGAAGGCGCATGTTCGAAGACTTGGGTGCGTTGCGATATTTTCCTTCTCTTTCTCTTCCCTTCTTCCCTTCCTTCTTTCTTTTCTATAATATCCGCAAAAAGACCAATAGAACTGCGACGATGGCTAATTCTTGATGCGAAAATCTTTCTTTTGCAATATTATAGGTGAAATATTTCAAAGAGAAGCGTGTAATGGAATATAAGCGGGATCAGACAATTGCGAAGATAAAAGCGGATGATGCTGCAATGGCTGCGGAGAGCCGGGCGGGCAGATAAAAATGGACGGGCAAGTTGGTTTCGGTGGGTGGTTCTTCTCACCCTGTTTTTAATTTTTGGGCGATTGCGAAGAGTACGGGCCTGTATGATTATAGATTGATCGGTCTGAATGACTTGGTTGCTGGCGCCCCTAGAATGAAGAGTTGTGGCCAGAAGGATGCGACGGCATATTGTATATTATTATTGTTATTATCTATTTTTTGACGACTTCTTATATATATTCAACTCTCATGGCGCTGTATTCGCCTTGATATGCATGCCTTTTGCTTCTGATGCGAAACCTAATTGGATAGATACTAGACGGGTACGTCTTCATATCGAGGCAGAGGGGAAGTGAACGGACACGGAGGGAAGTAGTATAAAATGCGTTATTAGATTTATAATAGTTAGAAGATGAATTAATTAATGGGATATTTACATTAGTTTAGTGGTATATGTCTCTTAAGGGTCCGTGGTCCGCACCCTAGCTTCCCTTCTATTGAAAATTAATCGCATTTCGTTTGTTATCCGGTTTTAGATATTGCTTTGCCAAACACCTAATAACTCAAATAGCCCGCCGTAGACGAGAATCACCTCACGTCAATTTCATAGATAGCAAGAATGACGATCTAATTTTCCTATGTTTGAGACAACTGTAGGTAGAAAGTAAAGGAAGCCAAATCTTCACTGCTTCCACTTCATCAGTTGGTCCATGATACTTTGAACGTGTGGAGGCACCTGTGGCGCCGTTTGTGGGGGCGGAGGAGGGGGTTGGCCTGGTAGTTGTCCGCCCAAAGTTTGTGCCAGAAGTGAGGCTAAGTTCGGGTCACTTCTCCCACTAGGGAACTGCGTTGGAAAGCTATACGCAGGAGGTGGAGCCTGCTGGGGAGCGGAGCTTGGAGGAATTAAAGAATTTTGCTGACGGGGGAAGTTGCTAAGTAGACTAGCAAGGTCGGTTGGGTGGCCCTGGGGAGCGTAGTGCTGCTGAGCAGCCTGGAGCGCGACAGGATTTTGCTGTAGAGCTCCGAGAAGGGATTGGAGTGCCGGACCATCCAGATTCGAAATGAGATTTGTAATATTATTATTAGATTGTAATGGACGCGAAATTTGAGAGGGCGCCGGCAGCATTTGAGATATTCCAGGAGGTTGTGTGGTGGGATATTTTGAGGCATTCCCAAGGTGGACAGTCATTGCATGAAGCACGACCTCTGCGGCAACCTTCAACTCAAGTTCTGAGTATTCTAGAAGCCGAGGAATTAGTACGGTTTAAGCAACACTCTCTCAACTTTCTGCTGCAATATCTTACCATTGAACTTAACATTGTCGATGCCACCAGTGCGATCAAACACCTGTAGTGGGATTTTGCCAGAATACTGATTTGGGCGAGATAGCTTGACAATTGCCAACACTCCCTCTATTATTTGACGGCGGACGACAGCTGCGAGAGATATTCGGGGACTCAAGATTAGGACATCCGTTCGCAAGCCGCGATCTCGAAAGGAATTTTCGATATGATACACGAAATCCCTACAAGATAATCGCGTTAGTAGCAGCCCGATCCATACCCTCGGCCGAGATTCTTACCTGTCAACATTTTCCAGGACAATTATCTGGACATCTGGTACTTGTCGTGGGGATCGCCTTGGGATAGGAAGGTCTGAATCATTTTCATAGGCCTTCTCTCTAGGACTCGGGCTTCTGTATCTCCCTGAACGCATATAGGGAGACCTGGAACGGCGCCTATCTCGACCTCTTTCATAATCCTCCGGGGTTCGGTCGCGGAAGCGATGATCATCTCGGCGGTGCCCTCGTGGGGATGGTGTACGAGCTGGGCGATAATCATCACGACGACGATACGGCTCATCACGGTCCCTGAATTCTCTAATCGGCGGCGGCCTTCTAGGCTCCGACGCTCTGTCATATCGATCACCACCGGCACGAATGCCACGGTGACTTGGTACACCTCGGATAGCTTCCGGTGACCTAGATCTTCTCTTGACTGGTGGTCTCGATGAATCCGGCGCGGGAGCATTTCTCGCCGATTTTTGGGGTTTTGAGATTTCAAGATCTAAATAGTCAGTCAAAAGGCCTCATAATATTATGCACTGGTGGAGAAAGCGTGACTAACGAATCTTGCGTCCCCGTATAAATCCTCCTTGCTCTGCTTCTAGCGCTCTGCGACAAGAAGCGGGTTCCAGGAATTGGACGAATCCGTATGCCTGCTTAATGGATATTTGGGCGAGATCGCCATATTTGTGAAATAGGTGAAATAGGTCCCGTTTGGTGACTCTCTCTGTAGGGAGATTTCCTGTTTTGAATGTGAGTATAGATATGCCAAATAAATACGTGCTGGAGAAGACAGAAGGAAGGAAGGAAGGAAGGAAGAAAGACAGGCTTACCAACAAACAATCTCGATCCAGGCGGAAACCGATCCCAAAGTCCCTCTGTAACATAAACGCGTTCATTATAGAGAAACTGGTCATATTTCTTCTGAACTTTAGGGGCCCAAGGCTCCTCTCTATCTCCTTCGTCGCGAAGAAACTTGAGTTCATTGTCGTCCAACCTATCACTTCGGGGGAGTTTAAGAACGCTGGGTTTTGTTTGGTCGCTAGATGAATCGGGCAACTTTTGGAAACTTGCAATAGGGGGAGGGGGCAATCCATTTGAGGTGGAGGAAGTTCCAGGTGCGCCAGTGGGCACAACCGGGGATGGTAGCCCACTAGGCTGGGGGAAACTACATTGACCAAACGGTGCAGACAAATTTTCGGGTTGGCTAGGCAAGGGATGGAAATATTGGATATTATCAGAACCCGGTTGGATAGAAGGCTTTTCTTGGGGTGGCGGGCGGGGAGGGAGACCAGCAGACGTGGGAAGGGATGTGTCTGGGATTAAAGAGTTGGTCATAAGATCATCAGTAGCGGTGGTGACGTCAACGTCTGTGGGAGAAGGGGAGGGATTTTTAGCATCTGATAGAGTATTCATGGCTTTTTGGTAGCTGGCGTCTCCCTCAGGGATGGGATTTGCCTCAGATTCAATGTTATTACTATGACCACCAGGTAAAGCTGGGGTAAATTTCGGGGAGGTATCGACGTCTGCATCCTTGCCTGGGAGCGCAGAAGATAGGTAATGGGGCTCAGATAATTTGATTTCGGAAGGAATGGGACGGTCTGACTGGGGGAAGGTTTCAGGTACGATTGATGCGATATATGGAGGAACGGTTTGGTGGTTCACTTTAGTAATGGAGCTCTCAAGAGTAGGATACGCAGATTGACTCGTGCTGTGAGTAGCTGGCAAAGTCGATTCATTTTCTGTTTCTGTTTCTGGATGATAACCCCTGTGTAAAGATCCAGAATAGCAAACTGCGCCTTCCTCGCCCACACCTTTTTCATCCACGCCTTTTGATTCCAGACTCTCAAAATTCTGATGCAGCATCGCATAAGTATGGGTTGTGACCTGAACCTGATCCCTTACAACTGACTCAGTGTCCAAAGGCGGCGTTTTCTCGAGAAATAGTTGCTTATAGATGGGAGTGTCGCTAAAGGCCGGGTCCATCTGACTTTGCAGCAATGGGATATTGGTAGGTTCTGACACATGAAGTGGCCTTGGACTTTCCGGCGTGAGAGTCTTGCCACGGATATGCAGAACCTCATCAGGGATATCGGAACTCATGATGCGGTTTTTTGAGGCAAAACAGGCGGGAGGCTAAGCAGACATCTGGAAAAGGACAAAGAACAGGTTAAGAAATGCTGGCTATTCGAGGCCTACAGACTAGAGAGGGGCAGAATAGACAGAAGATGTGAGGACCACAGGGAGAGGGTGAGCGCAAGTAAGAAGACATAGGGCCGTTAAAATACTTAGAAGAAGAGGTGTACTCGTGGTCTGGACGAAGCCTGTGAGGAAGCGGTCAATACCTGGAGGAAGTGGACAGTAGTAGCGGGGGAGGAATTGGCGGGTGTCGAGGAACGGTGTGGTTGGAGTCGGAGTGGAGGAGGTTGAGTGGTGGGAAGGAACTGGAAGAAAATGATCGCGGCAGAGTCGAGGCCTTCTTGAAGCTCTCTAGCGCCTGTTTGCTTTGTTTGTTGGATGACGACGATTCCTAGGCAAAGCGGGTCTGCCAAGCAGTGTCACGGGGGCTAACCGATCGATCCCCTCGACAGAACAACAACCAGGAACGGTGCCGGCGAGAGAGCTAGCTATACCTGTGTATGGGTGGGTGGGTGTAGTTATGTGGCGGAGAGCGTATAACAGAACCTATATTTGCTAGGTGCCTTTACAACTTCATTAATCCTTGACATGCTCCAATTCCCCTTTACCTGCACGAGAACTGCCTTCGCTGCTCGGGCGTTTCTGCCAACCTTAAGCGCGAGACATCTTGCTTCCTCCCGATCCCCCAGTGCGCAGCAGTTTACAGACGAGGAATTGGGCACAGCACGGATTTGGCTATCTCAGCTGACCCCGAGAACAATACCGAGAAACATAGGCGAGGTTTCTTATAGCAGATCAAGTGGCCCCGGCGGACAAAATGTGAACAAGTACGCCAGCAAGTTTACCCACCCAAATCCTCCCTGCCTCTCTGCAAAAAAAAAAAAAAAAAAAAAAAAAAAAAACCCTCTTGTCTCTAAGAGGATGAAGAAAGGAAACCAGAATCATTTTATATGTATCTAATAATAATTGCCACCTAGGGTAAACTCGAAAGTTACGCTTAAGATCCCCCTCTCGTCCATCCTCCGACTTGTGCCACGAGCCCTACACGCCCAGATCCGGTCTTCACGTTACATCGCGGAGCGCTCTGACAGCCTGGTGATACAATCAGATGAAACGCGGAAACAAACTAAAAACCTCGATCTCTGTTTTGAAAAGCTACAGGAGCTCTTGGTCACTGCGGGCAAAACAGCAATTCCGGGCGAAACGTCGCCTGAGCAGAGGAAGAAAGTACAGGCTCTGTAGGTTCTCTTCTTGGTTATATTTGAAACTTCAAAATAAAACATTTTTGCTAATTCCCCACCAGTGAAAAAGCCAATAATGAATCTAGAATACGATCCAAAAAGGCCCATAGCATGAAGAAAAGTAAACGGCGGTCAAGCGGCTATGACGATTAGAAAACAGAAAAAGCTTCCATTCCATGCAGCTGTTGACTAGGATATGAAGGCAGTATGGGAATTATACAATTAGGATGATCATTTGGAATCATTTCTATATATCATATACCAGGGGTATTTGAAGGCAAATAACGATAATTCAACTCAATGAGCCTTGAGCATTTCGCAGGGTTGTCGTCATCACCTTACACAGTGCTGGGTCGAGGCCCTCTGTCGTGACCAACGGTTGCAGCCAGGCGACAACCTCCTTCGGTAGGCTTTTGTTTCCAGTGGTGTTTTGGTTGTTACATTCTTTTAATCGACTCAGGGACGTGCCGAATGCCCGTGGGAATTGTGCGGAAGTTATCTCGATAGCGGCCGTGGGAAGCATAATATAGCATATCTGTGCGTGGGAACTCTTTGGGTCTGATGCCATCATCGTCTCGACAATGTGACTCAGCACCCTGCGAAGGCAGGGCGTCTTCGTAAACTCGGAGACCATGGTGTAAAAGTCATGGCCAATGGCGGTGTCGTTTCCGAACTGCCTCATAGCGGCATCGAAAATTGCGATTGGGATAGCTCCTGTGAGTGCTGGTGTCGAGTTGAGATTTTCAAGAGCTGCCTCGTCAATTCCATCTTCCTTCTCCAGGCTTGGGTTGATATCTTCTTCCGTCACAACTGGAAGGGCAATAACATCCGCATTCGGATCCGTCGCAGAGTCATCAGCAGTCGCCGACGGAGATTTTCGACTACCATCTAGACCTAGGATCTGCTGCCGCGTCGCAATCCGTGTGATATATATCATCTCAAGTTTAGCATACTGCAGCCAAAGTAATTTAGAGCTCTTGCAAAATCTCAATCCCCGCTGCATATAACTGCGGGCCTGTGTCATATCCCCATGGTCCTCCAGCGCATAACGGGCTGCGCATATCCATAGTTCGACCTTTGTAGGATGTAATCGTAGCGCGTTCATAAAGATCCGCCCCAGCTTCTTATACGCCTTCTGCCTCCGCGCATATTCGATGTACTGCATCCATAGGCTGATATCGCCGTGGAACTTCTTCGTTGCACGGTCGAGAATGAAAAATACCCGTCTCTGGCCTGTGTGCATAGGGGATTTGACGCCTAGCCGTTTTACCCGCTTTCTTCGCAGCGTGTCCAGGTTCATCTCATACTCGACATACTGGGCGTAATCTGCAGGCTTGGGACCTGTCGCATTAATTCTATGCTCAAAATCGGATCGCTTTTTCAGGATCGCGGAAATTTCATCCTGAAAAAATGGGAATGATCAATTCGTATTTTGTTAGCATTTGTTTTGGGAGTTGAAATCAGTCGTCCGTCTCACACTCAGCGGGAATGGGAAGGTCGGGGTACCTTTGAAAATATTTTTTTCTTCTCGAACTCTTTAAATTCCGGCACAAGCTGCTCCAGATAGAAGCGCGCTTTATCACTCGCCGTAGCCATGGCTTCGTTTAACCAGAGAGTATCCCTGGGGTTGGTTCTATCGCAAAGCGCTCAAAAAGTTCTCCGTGCGCCGAAACGACTGAGCTCATTTATTTTTTGATATTCGGTCCCGGAAAAACAGCTCTACCGGACACTAGCCGCCTTAGGCCTAGACCTTTTCTCTCCCGTCGCCAAACCATCCAAACCATCTTCTAAGTTCTGGCCGAACTCTCGCGAACACGGTCTTTCGGACGACTTCAGGGGCAGTTGTCGGCTTCACCACACAGTTCTCCTCGTGCCTTTGTTTTCTTTTTTCTTTCCTTTTCTTTTTAGGGTACTTTCTCGAGCCTCTTTTCCCTAATCAATTTTAATGGTTCCCTTGTTCTGTTTGTATTACATGTACTCGCATTAGATCAACCCGCTCAACCCCCCTCGCCAGTCTGCTCGCCCGCTACAACCATGGCCCCCAAATTCAAGGACGGAGATACCGTCGTGTCTGTCAGTATATATATATATATATATATCCATATCAGCTATTATCCGGCGCGCGTGTTAATTTTATTAATTTATACTGACTTTGTGAACGAAGATTAATGGCAAATGGGTGTCTTGGGCGCATACTGTAGCCGCCTACACTGCTTTCCTCGGAGCATTGATCGTTGGTATCCGGCTTCACTACCACAAGATTGTCCAAAATGAATATTACGGCTACCCACAAGAATGGTTCCCTTCAGTCTCGGCAACAATTGGCGATCGCTACCCGGAACGCTCCGTCTTCCAGCTGTTTATTGCTATCACATCAGGCCCACGATTCGCCCTCGTATTCCTCTGGTACATCCTCACTGCTCGCCCCAATTCTTCGCTGCCGAAATTCGTCGCTGGGGTAGGGCTGTTCCGGACGTTGACTTGCGGTGGCTGGACATATATCACTTCAACAGATGATCATGATTGGCATGATATATTCATGATCTCATATCTGGTTGCTACACTGCCCTGGACGTTGGGGTGTCTTGCCTTAAGCCCCAATAACCACCAGGCAGTGAAGTATCGGAAGATTCTTGCAGGCGTCTTTTTCGGCACACTTGTACCATTGATATACTACTTCATTCAGCACAAGGTTCACAAGGTCCCTGGTGGTAAGTCAAACGCTGTTCGATTTAAAATTTCTCCTATTTCCCTTTTTCAATCTTCGATTCTAACGTGATAAATTAGCCTACACGAAATATGCCTTCTTTGAATGGGCACTTGTCTTATTTGATGTAGGATTCGACGCAGTTACTGTCCTTGACTTCGGGGCATTCGAAATCGTGGTCAGAGACGTGAAGGGTGTCAGCAGAGGGTATGTTCATTGGCTTCCAAAATAGACAAATGTACACTCTTTATATTTTTTTTCGCCTGGAGCGATGGAAATAGGTGTCTAAGAAATAATATACAGAAGATCAAAGACCGCTGGAGACGCTGTTCTTGAAACCCAGTACGCCTCGCCTTCTTCATTCTCTCTCTCTTTTCCATTCTCCCTATGTTAACCCTAAGTACAGAAAGGATAAACCTGTTGGCCGTACTTTTGGTGAGGGATTTTTCTGGGCAGAAGCGCTTGACGCGGCTGCTGATGTGTACAACGGCGTAAGATGAATATTTAAAACAACTTGCCCTCGCTTGAATATGGACTGATTAGTAGTAGTTCGTCTTCTGGTCCATTCTAACATCTCTTGGTGTTTTGGTGTGGTGTAAGTTTGTCACCGCTGGCTGTATCGTCACCATATTTGAAGAATGGTCCCCTAACTTGTGTTAGACTTCCCACTGTGGCATATGGGCATATCGGGCTATGAAGTCCTTGTGATGGTCTCAGTGTCTCCCTTCCTCCTATCCATTCCAGGACTCCGATCTTTCGCCGTACGCAATGTTCGTATCATCCATCTCCTCTCTCTCAGCGGCCTCCTCGCCTACCTCATCCAACGTCCCGAGTACCGTCTTTTCACAGTTGGATTTTCAGTAGCTATGAGCTGCCTGGCGTGGCCGACGACGTGGTACGGCGAACGGGGCCAACCTGCGCGTCTCGAGGCTCGGATACTAGCATGGGGTTTAGGCCTCCTCGCGTCAAGCGTGGCCAAGTTTGGGGCACACACCAATAATCCAATTTGGCCAATTATGCACCCAGGAAACGGCGGATGGAACAAAACTGCCTTCGTCCTTGCTGTGTTCTCCGTTCTCCGTTCAACACGAAGGGTCACCACAAGCGGCGACTACTTCCCCACCACTGGTAAAAAGAAGGGATCTTCTCTGCTTGCCGCTGCGGGCCTTGGCGGCTTGTTCTTCGCTATGCATTCCCTTTTGTCGGACTCGAGCACTATGATTCTCTGGGTCTGGGAAGGTTTTCCCATTCGAGGACCTATCTCAGTCCCACACGGAGCATATACAATCATCGCGATGGGTGCGGGTTCGGTGCTCGGAGTCTTTTATCCTCGCCTGTCAGGCTCATGGACGGCGTTTGGCATTGGTTCCATTGGGGCGGCTGTGCTCACCTCCTACAGCCATTGGTTCGGCTACTACGGCGCTCTAATACTTGCTATCTATGTGATGGCCGTTTCACCTGTACTCGTCACCTCCGCTGTTCGCCATTCTCCTGCCACGACCTTCGGTCTTGGCTTCCTTATATACAACTTCATGGTGCTGTTCCATGTTTGGGTCGTTGCATACGCTTTCGTTCCCGGCGGTCCACTTGTGAGAGAGCATACCGACTGGGTCATGCTGACCACAATGCTTCTCATTGGTGCTGGTGTATGCTCCGCAGCCATTTCGAATTCCCAGTCTACTTCAGTGAGAGGGAAGAGGTCTATCTCGAGTAACGGAAAGGCGCGATCTTATTACGTTTATGTCCTCACCGTTCTCCAACTGCTATCAATCTCCATAGGATATCTTCGATTCCCCACCAACGATTACACCCCTTACCATAAGGACGAAAAATTGGTCACCGCTGGTATCTGGACTGTGCATTTCTCTCTTGACAATGACATGTGGTCTTCAGAGAGACGCATGCGGGACGCTATCAAGGACCTTGAGCTTGATGTTGTCGGCCTTCTAGAGTCTGATCTCCAGAGAATCATCATGGGTAACCGCGACACCACCCAATTCCTCGCGGAGGATCTGGGAATGTACGTGGACTATGGCCCAGGACCCAACAAACATACGTGGGGCTGCGCTCTGCTCTCCAAGTTCCCCATTCTCAACTCAACACACCATCTCCTCCCGTCTCCAGTTGGTGAGCTAGCACCAGCTATCCACGCTACCTTAGATATGTATGGTGAACATGTGGATGTCGTTGTCTTCCACTCGGGCCAGGAAGAAGATCCAGAAGACCGCCGGCTACAGAGCGAGTACCTTTCGAAACTAATGGCGGAGTCCACGCACCCCTTAATTCTCCTTAGTTACCTCGTCACGAAGCCTCTTGAGGGTAACTACAACACGTATGTTAGCGAAGCGAATGGGATGAAAGATATCGACCCAAGCGATTGGGATCGGTGGTGCGAGTATATTCTGTACAAGGGAATCAAAAGAACTGGCTATGCGAGAGTGAGTCGGGGAACTATCACAGATACGGAACTCCAGGTATGCCCCTATATCTTCTCAGCTAATTCTAACCCGGTGGTTTTCTGCATGCTTTGCTAACGTGATACGGGCTCTTAACCTTAGGTTGGTAAATTCATCGTTGGTCAACCGGAAGATACATCCAATGTCCGCATTTCGGAAGAACATGTACCTCCCGCGCTGCGATTCCCAGCTCTCTTCCGGGGCCAAGGCGTCCGTGGCCATAGGTATCATGTATTTGACGAGCCGCGCTACTTTGCTTAAGTAATATTGCATTATCTTTAGATTTCTGTGTCTATACATTTCCCTTTCTCCCCCGCCCCCCCCTTTTTTATATATATCATATTATTTTACTTTTCTTCATTATGTATTTATTATCTCTCTTTTCCGGTCGTTAATTTCTCTTTTCCTTTTCTGAAGTCAGCGAGAGGATACTCTTTTGTGTAGAGCTTCAAGGTGGCGAAGAAATATAACAAGTCATAATTGCTTATAATGCTCGGTTCTGGAAGCCTTTTATATAGATAGACGTTTAACCGTGCCATGCTTACTCACTCTCTGTAGTGAGTGCGCCACAGCGTACAGAAAACCACACCGTAAAGAAAATATTTTGAATATAGTAATCTTCAAAAATTAATTAATAACCACCACCACATCTATCTATAATATAAAGATTATCTATATACTCATTAGAAGGTGTAGAATCCACTGTAAGTTGAGATTCTATAGAATTATCTTGTTGTGGTTGAGTGGCTGTAGATTTTGTAGGTTTGATTCCAATTGATTGAAGAGTCTTATTGAATGTCTTTTTCATCTCATCTGCTCTACAGGTCGCGATCTTGCAATTGGCATTCTTAATAGTGAGGACTCCACCTACTTGCACCTGCCTGCGGGAGGATTTGACAACCTGATGTCTATTTGCTCAATAATGACCTGCAAGTTCACCCTCACGGTGCGCGTTCAATTCCGCCTGGACCATGCTACCCTTGAAGATCTTGTTCAACCACCTTGTCAAACCAGGTGTAAGGGTATCCTTCACATCTTCTAAGGCCTTGGCTGCTGCATTGATTTGGTGACGTAGTTTTGCAACCATCTCTGGGGAGATTAATTGCAAGGAGGCAGTTGACAGTCGATCTGCAGGTGGCGGGGTAAAGTGATCACATACATCACCATCACCATCATATATGTTGAGATCCGGGGCATCATCAATGGTAAGAGGTCTCAATTGATTGAGAATTATATCGCGATTAACTGGATACATTCCACAGTCAGCAAAGCCAGCTCTCACAGTGCCAGGTTTGAATGCTTGCAGTCAGATGCTCTCCAGATTAGCAAGGAATTGTTCGCGGCAGCTTCGATATGCTTGATGGTGGGTGGGCAAAAATTAATGTCCAATTGATGAATCCATATCTTAATTGCCTCTTCCTGGCTGTCATTCAATGCTCGATTCAGTGGAACCCTCATAGTCCTTGATTTCTTCCCGTTGATCCTCCCATACAAGGTGGCATATGGGACTTTGAATTCTCGCGACAGAGATGTGATTTTTAATTTTGAATTGCTTTTGTACGCGTCAACAGCTCTTTGCAACTGCTCCTCAGTGTAATTAGAAGATTTAGGCATGGTTATAATTAATGATGATTATTTGAAGATGAAGAATGAAGATATTGAAAATATTTTCTTTACGGTGTGGTTTTCCGTACGCTGTGGCGCACTCACTACAGAGAGTGAGTAAGCATGGCACGGTTAACAGTCAGTCGTATATTCCTAAAAAACTCGTACCAGAAAGGATTCAGTCATGTGACAGCTGTGTGGCCAATAGCATCATATTGGCCGACTTGAGCTTTCCAAGGTTCCATGCCCTAGGCTAGGGCCCATAACGTCATTGCCCCGATCCTCTCCCGCTCCTGTATGAATGCTTGCGACCGATGGGGGAGGGAAAAGCAAGGCTTGGAGAGAGAGAGACCCAAGCATATACTATGTACTAAACGTCATAAGATGTCTGTCTCTTCTTTGCTTCCTTCTCCGCTTCTCTCCTTGTTCCGCTTCGTATAAATACCGAACCGCCATCCCGCCTACGCTTAGCTATATAGTAGCGATTTGATAAGAAGCGAAAAAAAAGGCTGCATTGTACCCAACACATATTCCAAATTCTCAATCCCTCTCTCCTCCTTATTCTCCCAAATCCGATATCTAGGTAGCTAGCGGCGAAAAAGCAAACCAGGTCGGAAAACGCTACCACCCCTGGACGCAAAACCACCACAACATCAAAGCTCCTTCGAAACACACGAAACAAACTACATCAAAGAAGCAACAATGTCCAAGTCCCGTATGCCAATGTACTTAGGCCTTGCCGCCGCTGGTGCTGGAGGGTATTATCTATACCGTGCCGGAGGTGATCCCAAGAGAGCCACCCGGCAACTCGAAAGTGGGTGCCCATGTTTTCCCCAGCAGCATATCGTTAGCTATAGAACATATGCTTGCTATTTATCGTTCCAAAAAGGAACTAGAAATTCCCCGTACCCCCATATCAAAAGCAGATCATCGAGACAGAGAATGTCAAGCTGACCAAGTGGCGTGGGATGTGTTTTTCGATTGCTTTTATAGATGATGCTTCTCGCGCAGGATCAAAAATCCGAGACGAAAGTAACAAGGCCCTGGGCCATGGGAGTGCTGAACAGATTGGAGCAAGGATAGATGAAGCGGTGAGTGTCTGAATTCTGAATACGTCCTGTTTTGTCATTTCGTTTCCAAGATTCCCTCTCTTCCTTGTTCCCTTACCGTATCTTGGGAGTATGTACAACAGCTCTCCGCTCTGTCCTCTCCAAAATCCCATGAAAAGGGCCACACGTCGACAACTTATCCCTATTTACTTCCCTGTTTCTCTTTGTTTGCCAAACTCATTACTAATGTAACCATCGGCCCCAAGCAGGATGAGAAGGCCACCACCTTTGCCAAGGAAGAAGCTGAGAGGCTCGGCAAAGCCCGTCAGGACGTTGCCAAAGATGTAAATGCAAAGATTGACTCGTTCGATAAGACCGTTGAGCAGAAGGCGGCTGAAGCTAAGAGTGGAGTCTCCTCTTGGTTTGGTGGGAAGAAATAACAGCAGGTATAGTTAATGACGGGGATCCGGCGATTTGAGAATGATTTTGAAATGAAAAGTGGCCGAAACCTCGTTCCTTTCATTTCCTCCTGTTTCAAATTTTCAACTTTCGTTTTGTGACCCCTGGCGAAATATGAGGCTTTAGTTGGTTATGCTTTTTTGCTTCTCTTATGTTTATTTCGCGGTCGAAATTCCAATCGTCTCATGATCCAGTGTGCATAGTCCCTGAAATATGTCGAATATGACCGCTTTATAACGTTCCATGCAGTGTGAAATGCATAAAGCCAGTGACACGAGAAGGTACCCGATAGCCACGAATTTTCCTGTTTATGGAGTTGATGCCGGGAATTGTGAGAGTGTGGTTGTTGAGTATTTGTCATAAGTGAAGGCAGTGAGTTTTGATATGGTTCTTGAATCGAAATTGTATGTCAGATGTCAGTCATCATTCATGTGTTCAGATATATTTATAACCTTCTAGTTTAAATTCAAGGACCAGTCGACCTTGTTACAGCATTAAAGAGGTTTTCAAAAGGATGAAGAGGGAGGGACATGGCGGCTTCATGGTCGGTCAAGATATTTCCCTCTTCCACCTGTTCTTCAATACCGTAGACATCTCCATGCAATGTGATTCTGTCCAAATATGTACACAGTATGACAAAATCCATATCATATCCAGGGGTTCTTCGCAATTTAGCCTAATTAGGCAAGGCGTCAAGGTTGAGGCCATGTCGCGTCAAGTTTCGCGCGCGTCGCGTCGACCAGATCCGGACCACTTTAAAAATGATCGTCGTAAACAAAAACTCCACAGCGCAAATATCCCTTCATCCTTTATGCCCATATCCCATAACTCTTAACCCTCTTAGTGCTCCTTTGAACATCCATTATCTTCTTCCATCCTCATTGCCATATTTACAGAGTAGCTCCTTACCTTCAACAATTATCTTAATTCTCTATAAAACAACCCCGAAGGAAAGCATTATGGGCGCTAAGCTCCTTCACTCCCGCCCCTCGAGAGCTTCAGCCCGCCGCCTTCCACCACAGCAGAGCGCGATACAATCATTTGCAAAGACTACAAAATCAGGGGCAAGGGCAGGAATATCTAATGCCAAAGAGGCCCTTTCCTCGAAGAAGCGCAAAGTCGAAGGTATCCAGGTCGAGATTAGCAGCAGCAATGAGCCGGAGAACTCATGCGATGAGGACGCCGGTGCAAGAGCGTCTAAAGTAGCAAGGCGGAGCAGGCTCTCTACCTTCTTATCTACGTCCCATTCTTCCTCTTCATCATATATTACACCACATTCGACATCTCCCGTAACCTCAACGGAGAGTATCAGTCCACCCAATAGCACATTCCAGCAAACCCCATCCGATACCGATACCGATACCGACACCGCTGAGATATTAGATAATAACGAGGGCGACAGACCTGAATCTTACTACGATCTCACAACCCTACATTCTTCTTTTCTTACCGCCCTATCACTACATTATGCTCATAATAGCCCAAGCACACCTGCGGATCTCAACCAACTACTTCCTTGCATAGAGAAGATATGGAAGAAACGTAGGGTCGAGAGGCAGGACCTACAAAGATTACTATATATATTAGAGAGTGGCCCTAAAATATCAGCCGACGAGGGGGATCCAAGCGCAAGCACGCGCTTTAGAATCGCCAAATATAGCGTCGGAAAGACCTGCTTGGAGTTACTAAATACAAATATCTCGAGAAATACATTCGGTCCTCCATTCAGCGAAGCGGAGTTGAACAATCAATTTACTCGCAACCTGGAATGCATCTGGCAAGGGAAGCTAGAAAGTTCTGATCAGCAACGATCAAACATCGATTTCCTACGCACCATTCCACTCGCGCCCATCCACGACTCAACCACCACCTTTCACTCGTTACGCATTGGACAACAACGCCTTCTCGATTTCCAAAAGGGAGTATTAGGAGTGAAAGCGACAGTCGATAATCCCGCAAGCGGCAAACGCGATGGAGGAGCAGCAGCACGTGCAAGAAGCTCAGGTGGTACCGGCACTGCAGGACGACGGAATGGGCTTCTTCAAAGGGTCCAGAACAAACAACTCAAACAGACGACGCTCGCCCCGCCGCCGACAAAGGACGCGATCCTACGTCGTTCAGCCATTGATCTAGTTGAAGAAGTCGTTGGCGTGTTGATTTTATTGAGGCCGTCGTGTTCGTCTGCGTCTTCTTCTCTCCTGAGCGGGGAAGGTGGGTCGCTATCCTCCGCCACGGCTGTTGCGCCGTCTCACAAGAAGCCGTATAGATGGAACACCATTATCCAAAATATTCGAGATTCCTTGAGATGTCCGATTTCAAAGCTAGAGGCGGAAGCCTGTTTGGATCTCCTGGCACAGCCGTCGGTGGCTGGGGACTGGATCAGTATTGTTACCGTTAATAGAATCAAGTCTGTCGTGTTGAGGTCTGGGAGTGATATATCACCGCAGGAGATTGGCATGAGAGTGGCGCGATTGGAGACCTGATTGTTTCTTCGGATTTTTTCCCCCTCTTTTCTTTCTTCGATATCTTGGTGTGGTGTCTTGCGTATGGCACTCGTTGCATTTCATTTTTTGCATATAAACGGCGTTCAGGTGGTTTTCATCATAGAGCATTCATTGTCTGCTTCGACATGCACCCCTAGGTGCATGTACGGGCATGTATATATTAGATCAGAGTCTGGATAGGGAGCCTCCTAGAATTCTCCTTAAAGGCGTGTACACCACCGACTCTTATACCCAATAGAACGGAACACGTTTCTTACAATTATATTCCCATCTTGTAAAGTACAAGATCTTGATGCTCATTAATAATCCCCATGGCCCAACTCTGTTCCAGAATTTCTGCAAGAGCATCTGCACTGCAAACGGCGAATACATAAATTGGGAAGGGCTCCGGCCTACCCCTGGGAACGTCAGGCTCAAAAGGATACATTCCATAATAATCTAATCTTCTTAATTCGAGGTAGCATATATCTCCTAGCAATACTCACTGGCCGGTAGACAATAGTTAGGCATCAAAAAAAGGCTACGAAAACATGACTTGCACATGTACATCTGCGGTGAATATCAGGAAGGCTTTTCATCCATCCGCCCATGGCATGGACCGTGAACATCAATTCGCCGCCGCTCCTTTATTTATTTCCTTCAGTCCAGCTTTCATGAGAGGCGACTGCAACACCTTCTGCCAGTCATGCAACATCTCCGTGTTCGTTGTTGAGAGACGTGCTTCCCACCAACCCGATGAATCATCTCTTCCTCATATGACGAGATTGCCGCCGCCTGTGTGGACTGCTTAGAGGTACGTACACTTCAAGATTGCCTCACACAATTTAGCTGCATCAGTCACGGAGTGATTTAATCCCTGCCCACGCTGGTAAGTCATCGTGTGCGCCGAATCACCAGCAAGCGTGACGCGGCCACCAAGGGTACCCCAGCGATTTCCAGCCGCTCCCGGGTCAAAATCATGCAGGCAGCTATACCACACCTTGCAATCAGCACTGGCCCACTCAAAAGCACTTTTTAATGGATCCGTGAACGTTCGAGAGAATCCTTTGACTTGGTCAAGGCGCTGGGCATCCGTCCAGTCTGCTGTTCTGTCTTGCTCTTCCAGGCTGGAGTACCATGATATATAGAAGAAGAATGTCCAATGTCTCAGGCCAATCTGGATCTGCAGCGTCTTGCATTCCAAGGAACGAGAAGAAACCGGCCGGGTGGATGGCAGCTATGTAAAGCGGGTGGAACTCACGTATGAACAGTGCGGACGGCAGCCTGATCTGGTCCGAGCAAAAGCTGTCGCACGCTTGACCTAGCGCCGTCAGCGCCCACTGCTAGGTTCGCGGCGATCGAGGAGCGATCATTTAAATATAAGGATAGAATCGACAATCAATGAGGATATGGTCAACACCTTTTGCTGATTGGTCCCGACTCCGCGGAGTCTTGGCAAGAGCTTAAAGTTATTAGCGCGAAAACTGAACCGGAAACGGGCATAATTGCCTGGACGACGCGAACACGTAGTCATGTGATGCTTCTCAACTTGGCATCGCGTCAAGCTATTAACGACTTTTACGTGTGTGTAGGTACTATATATTATTTCCAAGACAGAGGTCGAGTCTACTTCCATGCCATAACCCTGGTATATTGAGTTTGATCGTTCCTTCAGGCCATCGGACATATTATATATCGCTCTTAAGATGGCTTCACGACCGGAACTGAAGGTAATACAAATTCCCTCAATTTCACTGCTCCTCTTTTTTAACTTGTCCTCGCTGGAATCTCAAAGCCGTAATCTAACCCTGCAATACTTATTTAGGTAGACGACGAGGGGGGCTTTATTCGATTCTTCCGATCACTTCCAGCCAAAGATGACTCCTCCACAATTCGCGTCTTCGACAGGGGCGACTTCTTCACTGCCCATGGCCCCGATGCCGAGTACATCGCTCGGGCAGTCTATAAAACCACCTCTGTTCTCAAGTCCCTTGGGCGCAGTGATACAGGCGGCTTACCTTCGGTAACCATGACTGTGACCGTTTTCCGCAACTTTCTACGCGAAGCCCTTTTTCGATTAAGCATGAGAGTAGAGATCTGGGCGTCCCAGGGAGGCGGGAAGGCGAACTGGAAACTGGCCAAGCAAGCTAGCCCGGGCAATCTCCAAGACGTTGAGGAAGAACTGGGAGCTGGTGGTGTGGCAATGGATTCAGCACCAATCATCCTTGCAGTTAAAATATCCGCTAAAGCGTCTGAGACAAGGCAGGTCGGCGTCTGTTTTGCTGATGCCAGTGTCAGGGAGCTGGGCGTGAGTGAGTTCGTAGATAACGATCTCTATTCCAACTTCGAGTCCCTGGTCATTCAGCTAGGAGTCAAGGAGTGTTTGATTACCGCGGAGACGCAAAAGAAAGACGTTGAGCTGGGAAAATTGCGATCTATTTTAGATAGTTGCGGAATCGCTATTTCGCAGCGCCCTATGGCTGACTTCGGGACAAAGGATATCGAGCAGGATCTTTCAAGGTTGTTGAGAGATGAGAGAGCTGCTGGGGCATTACCGCAAACAGATTTGAAATTGGCGATGGGGTCTGCTGCAGCTTTGATCAAGTACCTTGGCGCCATGTCTGACGCAACAAATTTCGGCCAATATCAGCTATACCAGCATGATTTATCGCAATACATGAAGCTAGATGCTCCGGCACTCAGAGCATTGAACTTAATGCCTGGCCCACGGGATGGCGCGAAAAATATGAGTCTGTATGGGTTGTTGAACCACTGCAAAACTCCAGCGGGGAGCCGATTATTAGCCCAATGGCTAAAACAGCCCCTAATGAACCATGAGGATATCGAAAAACGGCAGCAACTAGTGGAAGCCTTCGTAGTTGATACGGAGCTCAGACAAACCATGCAAGAAGATCATCTACGATCCATCCCCGATCTTTACCGACTTGCGAAACGATTCCAACGCAATCTGGCCAATCTGGAGGATGTGGTTAGAGTATATCAGGTTGTGATCAGATTGCCTGGATTTATCAACACGCTTGAAAGTGTCATGGATGAGCAATATCAAGGTCCCCTCGAGGCGGAGTATACCGCCAAACTACGCAATCTCTCAGATAGTTTCAGCAAACTTGCGGAGATGGTTGAGACTACAGTAGATTTGGATGCGCTGGATAATCACGAATTCATAATCAAACCGGAATTCGACGATAGTCTCCGGATCATCAGAAAGAAGCTCGACAAGTTGAAGCATGATATGGACGTGGAACATAAGATTGTGGGAAAAGACCTAAATCAAGATACGGACAAAAAACTATTTCTTGAAAATCACCGTGTCCATGGATGGTGCTTCAGGCTGACACGAAATGTAAGCTCACCTGCCCCCTCGTTTCTGCTGTTTTTCAGTATGCTAATTTCTATCTTTAGGAGGCCGGTTGTATTCGAAACAAGCGAGAATACCAAGAGTGTTCGACACAGAAGAACGGCGTATATTTCACGACATCGACAATGCAATCCTTCAGACGAGAGCACGACCAGCTTTCTTCAAACTATAATCGAACCCAGACCGGCCTAGTGCAGGAAGTGGTAAACGTTGCAGCGTCCTACTGCCCATTGTTGGAACAGCTGGCCAGCGTTCTAGCGCATCTTGATGTGATCGTCAGTTTTGCTCATGTATCCGTTCATGCGCCTACGGCATACGTAAGACCCAAAATCCACCCTCGAGGAACAGGAAATACGGTCTTAAAGGAAGCTCGTCATCCATGTATGGAGATGCAAGACGACATATCTTTCATCACGAACGATGTTTTCCTGTTACGTAACGAGTCATCGTTTCTCATCATTACGGGCCCCAATATGGGTGGTAAGTCTACCTACATTCGACAAATAGGCGTGATCGCTCTCATGGCGCAAACCGGTTGTTTTGTGCCATGTTCCGAAGCTGAACTCACTATTTTCGATTCTATCCTTGCTCGAGTGGGTGCCAGTGATTCTCAACTTAAAGGAGTCTCAACGTTCATGGCGGAAATGCTTGAAACCGCCAATATATTGAAATCAGCGACGTCAGAGTCCCTAATCATCATTGATGAGCTGGGTCGCGGGACGAGCACTTATGATGGTTTTGGTCTCGCCTGGGCAATATCCGAGCACATCGTCACGGAAATCAGATGTTTCGCGTTGTTCGCCACCCATTTCCATGAGCTAACAGCGCTGCAAGAGCAGTACCCCAATTCGGTGAAAAATCTGCACGTTGTAGCCTTTATTGGTAACGGGACAGAGCAAAAGGAGAATGATAGTACTGGCAAATCGAAGCGAGAGGTTACCCTTCTATACAGGGTAGAGCCGGGTGTTTGTGATCAGTCATTTGGCATCCATGTGGCCGAGCTGGTTCGCTTCCCAGAAAAGGTTGTGAACATGGCACGCCAAAAAGCGGAGGAGTTGGAAGATTTCACTTCGAGCACCATCGACAATGCACAACAGTCAGCCACCTTAGATGGGTACTCCGCGGAAGAAGTCGCGGAAGGGAGTGCTTTGTTAAAAGCAATGCTGCTGAAGTGGAAAGCCAAGTTAGAAGAGCCGGGCAATGAAAGCCTTACCATGGAGGAGAAGACGAAGATAATGCAGGATTTGGTACAAGCAGATGACAAGTTACGGGCCAACAAGGTATTTCAGGGTATTAAGGCCCTATGATTCAAATCCTGCGATTACCTTTTTTTTCGCTCTATTTTGTTACCCATTTTTCTTACTTTTCGTCACCCTTTGAGTTCTTGGTTTGGCGTTTGCAGAACGGGGTAATTTTTTCCCTCCATATATCGGGTTTATGGAGGTATATGTCAATATAATATAATCACGCACCAATTGCACTAGTCCTAATATAGTTAAAGTAGATTTAATCAGACTTGGCAACATATGGAGTATTACAGCTCTGTAGAAGAATCCTCCTCTCAGGTGTATAGAGCCTCCCACCCTGAGTATAGAGGCCCTCAGGTATATAGATATAGAGTTCTCCTGTGTATAGAGCCCTCTGAGTATAGAGGCTCTCTGGATACAGGCTCTCTGTGTATAGAACTCCAGGGTATAGAGACCTCTGAGCATAGAGGCCTCTGAATATATATTTCCATAGACTGTCCCACCCTCCACTGATGTGGGTCATACAACCTCCAATGAGGAGATCTTGATTGCTAATACAATCAGTATCATTAAATATGTGGTATAAAATATCCATTTGTCACATTTGTCACTATAGACTGCCGTATTCAAGCTGCCATATCAGGTGATATACAACCCTCCAAGTTCCAACCTTAATCCACCCAAGGAGCTCAACAACGTCTGTCAGACAAAACGAAATCTTGCAAGCTCCAACCTTTTTCTATAAATCCCTTGTGCTCATCTGTGATATCGATTTGGTTACTCCTAATCCCGCGCTGTACCTCACTCGGGAATCTACGAAATCTAGAAAACAACAGCGTGCGACTGGCCACATCAAAAGTTATTTTGTCTCTTGGAAGCTTCCTCCCTTTTAACTTTCTCTCCAAGCATGCACGAACGATAGATCTTAATTAATGCACCCTTTCTCAGTCCTCGCGCTTGGCATATTCGTAGCAGGCTACATCACTGCGCGGTGGGATTTAGTCACCCGGCTGTACGAGTTGGCCATATTTGCCTGGGATCACGGTGTGGTTGTACGTTTCAATTTCTCGCCGATCAAAGAAGAATGAACACTACCTTGCCACAGTGCATATGGATACTGATAGTCGAAAAACGGATTTTTCTAGACCCGCACGGCGAAGGGCTTTGCTGTCCTTTCCATCTTTTATTTCCTTGTCATCATCCCAATCAATTTGATTGTGGCGCGAGAGATCAATTCGGTAAACCTCCCTGGCGCATTTCCTTAACTGGCAAGAGCCCGATTCACTCACAAATTGCCTAGCATCCTCGTGCTGTAAGCCACGGAATATCGGCGCGGGAACAATTACGGCGCCGTGGCTCGTTCTAAAGACTGGAGAATGATAAGATGCTGAGTGATGGTTTGCTGCGAGTGTTTTGGCCAAATGACATTCCAAAGTCCACCTCGCCCGGTGTGATCGTGGGTTGGAGGAACTCTGAATTTGATCTTTTCGTGCTCACAGTCTTCGAGCATGTGGAAGTACGTGCTGTTTACCCCTCGTCTGTGCAACAAGTTTCTGACGAGCTGATTTTCTCGTAGCCACGGAATGTCGACAACGCGCTGCGAACTGGCATCCTGTTCCGCAATAGCCCCCATCCGATATCTCGGATAATGGCCCTTTGCGGGAAGCATGCAATGCATGTTTTGGGCTCGACAAATCCTACCGAGCTACCAACGGCATTTACTCCGTCCCATCTATATATTACATGGAACCCTTCTTCTAAAGTGCCCCGGATCTTTTGCCCACCTGAGACCAAGCTTTCTATCCAGATTATCACGTTTAACCGTCCACATCCCACGCGCATGCAATATATGTCCTTACGACCTATATCTTTAATTTTGGAAGACAAACCATCGAATTTGGAAAATACGGGAGAAATCTTGGACGATTTTGATCAAGCAGAAGTTAAGGCAAAGGCGCAAACTCGAAAACTTGTCAACAAGTTGAAATTACATACTGTGGTTAGGCATGTTCCTTCACCAAAGGAACAGATCCTCCCGGCAATTATCAACCAGGTTAACTGCTCTTTCGAAATGGAGAAACTGCTTGTTAAAAACGTGGGCTTGATCGGAGCGCGACCGAAGCGCAGCCTAAGCGTCAGTGAACGCGTGGTTGAGTCTGCTAGCTCGGCATGGGACTTTCTCTACATGACTTTGTCATACATATTTCTAGAGTGGATTTATCCGGTCATAACGCAAGGGTTTATCGCGGTGCTTATCAGCCATCGAGTAATAGCAGAGGTTGTATTGGGTGTGCTGGAGTGGCGAGCTCGCCCAGACGCAGCTGCACTGAAGGACATATCTGCGACAGCTCAGCAGATTGACATACGACTGCAGCAATTTTGTTACTGGCCGATCCAATATCTGACATTGCGCAAGCGGAAAGACGACTGGGAAAGTGTGACGAACAGCCACGCAGACTATATAAGGTTCTACAACAGCCTTTGGTTAGTGGCTAATGATGTGATCATTGGCATTGCTCTTGGGTCATACATCATAGATAATGCCGACTGGGTAGCGTCGCAAATCAACTCGATTCTCACTTGGTGGACCGTTGAGGGTTTGCAGCGGACAATATCTTGGCTCATGGGCTGGCCTGCAGGTTTGAAGCTAAATAATGAGCTTGCTGTTTTCATGGGAGATTTGTTTTTATGGGTTATAGAACATTGGGCTAGTGAGTTACAACAAGACGACCCCCATGTAGATTGTCGTTGCAAACTAAACTTTTCTAGGTGCACTCGCAAACCTTCGACCGTTTCTCCGTCATGTAATCTATATGATTGGTTGCTCTGGATTTGCCGGGGCGAGCATGTCCATGGCGATGTTCTCGGACCTGTTGTCGATATTAACGGTCCATATCTATTCATTCTACATCGCGTCTGCCCGCATTTTTAATTGGCAACTCACTATCATCATATCCCTCTTCCACCTTTTCCGCGGCAAAAAAAGAAATGTTCTTCGTAACCGGATAGACTCATGCGACTATGACCTCGATCAACTGCTCTTGGGCACGATTTTGTTCACGCTTCTCTTTTTCCTCCTACCCACAATAATTGTATTTTATCTTACCTTTGCTTCTGCCCGTATGATTATAATATCCCTCAAGGCAGCTCTGGATACTTGCCTTGCTTTTTTGAACCATTTCCCGCTTTTCGCGGTGATGCTGCGCGTGAAAGACCCCGGGCGTTTACCAGGTCAGATCTTACAATCGTTTAATTCATTTTGCGCAACATTTTCCAACGAAGTTCTAATTTTTTCCTCGGGTAGGTGGTATTCATTTCTCACTCAGGAAAGCCCCTTTGCCAAACCCTACCTCTAAGGCAGAAGAAATACTTTCAACCTCTACCTCGTACATCCACCTCCAGGTTTGTCTCTGATCCCATCCCATTCCCTTCCCCGAAATACAACTAACCTTCTACAAAGCCCATCCCCCTTTCCCTCCGCCAAATGTTCGACCAATATTTCCAGCTCGGTCACCGTCTCCGCAAGCACTACCTCTCACCCAGCGTCATCCTCTGCCTTGTGACGGGTCGCTTCGTGCCACCAATACACCGACGTAACATGTACAGCCTGCAGTATAGCATGCTCCCCGCGCAGCGCGTCGGGATCGTAGAGGTATGGTCGCGTTTGACGGAGAAAAAGACCCGGACGGCAAATGTGATGGCGCCCATGCCGAAGATCCCGAATGGATTTCCGTATGACAGGAGAAGGGCATATCGGTCGTAATTGATAGTGGAACGGGAAAACAGCTAGAGTAGGTCACGATTACTTGTCTACCTCCCTCGATGCTACTAGTCGTTTAAGCGAGAAAACCGTCTAAGGCCGACGTATATGAGCGTGTTCTGGACGATTATTTTATTCAATAAAATATTTAGCCTATCAATAATTCAATATTCTATTTATATAATGATGAAGTTTCCATCTTCAAGCCTGTAGTAGATTTTCATCCTAATTTACATATAAACGTATCTTAACTCACTTCACATGGGATTATGTGGTAGGACGGACCCTGAAGACGAGTTGAGCGAACGAGCAACGCAGAGAGCAAAGCAAGTTATGATGTAAAAAGGCTCTCTATAGCAAGGATAGAAATTACTTGGAGGTAGGAACCTTGGAAGGCTGAGGAATGTTCACAAAATAGATACATCAAAGAAAATTCTCATAAAGCAGAAGCAATCATGAATCATGAAACTGAATTTCATCTAAATCAAAGCAGCAAACAGACTAAGGAACCTTGGAATACAAGAGCAAAGATTCACCAGGGCAACATTGTCACTGTTTCCTGTGCGCATGAGGTGAAAATCAGAGAGAACCACAATATCTGAATATAAATATAAACATATTCTTTCACACACCGACACACACACTCTCACACAAGAGAACAAGCTCAGCTCACACCACATTCTTTCATCCAACACTCCCACAGCCACAACTTCCCACGCCAGCTTATACACACCAACACCATACCATAAAATGCATGGAAAGTGGACAGCTGAAGAAGACATCTTCGTCACAACCCTGCGGCTAGGCACGGATTTCAATTGGCGGGAAATCGAAACTGAATTCAACAAAAGGTTTCCCTCAGCCACGCCCAAAGACCTGGAGTCGAGATACAACAAAGGCTTGAAGCCAGGCAGACACGTTCCAGTGGATCAAAGGCGAGTATCGGACATCATCGACGACTACCGACACTACGGGCCGCTGGAGGGAGAAACCTCTACTGCAAGGGAAATTTTGCAACAGGCACTGTACATCCTGGACTGGTATCCTCTGCGTCGTTTATGGCATTAGGATATCGAGCTAAGAGGTATGTTCTCTTTCCAACGGCATTCTGTTGTCTATTGTTCCGCTTGCTGGGTGGGCCGGCTTCTAGCCTTCTCGAACGACAATTTCCTTTTTTTCTTTCTATATCGTGTCCATGTCCTCTATATTCATGTTTCAAGCGCCATAGTCATTGCACCTCATTCTCGGTGTCCCATCATTGCCGGCATTCTACATCATCACGGTATGCGGGCCCTGTCGTTTACCTCACATTTTTGTCTCCCGTGGTGTCCGCCAATGTCAGGCGCTGCTCCCATCATTGGGGGGTGATGATGCGAACTCTATCGCGAGAATCAGTACTCTGTGCAGATTTAGCGGTACCCTAGCTTCGTTGCGTACAAGTCTTCCTTTTCAGAAACTCCGCGTCGCTTTCTTTACTGCCATTACGGGCTTCTTCCACCATACCATCGAGCCCTCGTTCTTTCAGGGTTTTCTACAGTTGGTCAGTGGCATCGTCCCGAGGTAAAATGAGCTGAAAGGGAGAAGAATATGACATACTGATAGGCATTTCTGGTACTCTTCGAAGACCTTTGCACAGTCCTTGTCCGTGGTATTACCGCGCAGATACTCTGGGTTTACGTTAGATATCGGTGGCGTGAAGCTTGATCAATATCAGTTGGGGCATCATACTTTCACTATACCATTTGAGAAAGCACGTTTCGTATTTCCTTGGGTTGATTGTTAGCTTTCATGTTTCTCACAGGTGCCTAAACGGCGATTTCGAATTTGGATTTCCGGCACATACTCTTTTATGTTGTTGCATTCTGGGGCTAATGAGGCTGACATTTGAGACAGGAAAAGAAAACAAAAGCCTGCGAGCTGAGCAAGGACAGTTACTTTGTATATTTTGAGAACAGCAGATGTGAGTACAGTGAGAGAATATGTTTATTGATGTTGAGATTGAATTTGAAGCCTGGCTCATTCTCACATCTGCAGGTGCCACCGGATTATCTTTCTTCCACCAAAAATTTGGCTTGAAGTTTATTCCACACCAACTTTTCTTTTTTGAAGCATCCGAAGCTTTATTCTGTATTTGGCTATCAAGGACTGTATTACTGTCCTTGTATCAGTATCAGAAGGTCTCCGGAGTCCGTCCCCCCAGCGCGCTTATCCTTTCTTTGGTTACTTTGATCTTTGATTTGTTTTGTATCTTTCTATTCAAATAATGCTCTAGTTGCAGTGATCGAGTTCATGGAAATCGCCGCAGACTTTGTTCCGTACGAGGAGCAGGCACAGGCTGCCCTTATCAAGACGACCAGATCCGTCACGCAGATATCTTCCGAAGATCTAAATTTCCACCGCTCTTTCGATAAGAACCTTTCCGCATATGTTGACGAAGAAAGTGCGCGCCTCCTCAAGCTAACCAATTCCCTCTTGAAGGTTGCTACATCTGGATCCGAACTGCGGGTGCCTGAGCTACGCAATGAGGACGGGCTGGAAGAAAACTGGAGAACGGTTGTGGATGTAATTGACGAGTTGTTGGAAAAGGCGGATGCCTGTCTGGACGAATTCACGGGCATCATTAAAAAGCTCAGTCCGTCGCAAGAAGAGCGTGGCGCCGCACTCAGCAAAAGAACTCCGAGTTCACACTTCCCCAGCGTTTACGACTTCGGCCCATCCAAGATTCCCAAACCCCAGCTTTTGTTCGCTACTCGCCCAAAGAACAATGAAGACGCTCCACCTTTCAAACCGTTACTTCGTTCTAAACCTCATGCAATAACGCCATTGTCGACAAACTTAGGTGAAACTGGCCCTGATGGAACGACCACCTCGTGAGTACATGTCAGCTTTCCTGTTCGTTTCTCGCTCGTACCGAGTTTGCTAATGAAGCCGTACTTTTCCTAGCTACAAACATCCATACGAAACCGAAATACGCAACTCCACCTATCCTTCGTCCGCATTTGCCATTTCCGCTCCCCGTGAATCTAACCCTTTTGAGACCACCACCGCCACATTTGTAGACACTCTAGAAGGTGTCCACTCAATGCTCGCGGAACTGAAGCAAACGACGGAAATAGCCATCGATTTGGAACATCATGATACTCATTCATACCATGGACTTGTATGTCTCATGCAAATTAGCACGCGCGAGAAGGATTGGATAGTCGACACGTTAAAGCCATGGCGGGAGGAATTGCAGATCCTGAACGAAGTTTTTGCAGACCCCAAAATCATTAAAGTACTTCACGGTTCAACTATGGATGTGATTTGGCTCCAACGTGACCTAGGTCTTTACCTTGTCGGTCTCTTTGATACGTACCATGCGGCGGTAGCACTGAATTATCCAAAGAGAAGTTTGAAATTTCTTCTGGAAAAATTCGTCAACTTCCAAGCGGAGAAAAAGTATCAAATGGCTGATTGGAGACTCCGGCCACTTCTCCCTGGCATGTTTGACTATGCGCGATCCGATACCCATTATCTTTTGTATATCTACGACCAGATCCGGAATAGTCTTGTGGAGCATTCAACGCCCGACAACAACTTGATTGCTTACGTTCTCGAAAGATCTAAACAAGAAGCTTTACAACGATACGAGCGTCCTGTTTATAACGCTGAGACAGGTCAAGGGAGCGGTGGCTGGCAAGATATGCTTATCCGTAATTCTTCTCTCTTCAGTCGAGAGCAATTTGCCGTATTCAGGGCCGTCCACCAGTGGCGAGATAAAATTGCGCGGTCTGAGGATGAAGGCGTTCAATATGTTCTTTCGAAGCAATCGCTCTTCAAAATTGCCCATGCGATGCCCTTGGACCCTGCTTCATTACTGAGAACCATCTCCCCGGTGTCTCCTCTGGTTAGAGCCCGAGCTTCCGAACTAGTTCAGGTTATCAAGCAAGCGAAAATCGTCGGGGCAACAGGTCCAGAGCTTCGAGATGTGCTTTTCCCACTTAAGGAAAAGGCAGACGAATCGAAACCCAGCACACCCATATCATCACCTGAAAGCGAAAGTGAGAGTGAACCGGATAGTCGAACCGTCTTGGCCGCTAGAACAGACGTATCCCAATTCTGGGGTCCCACCCTGGACCAGCCACTCCATCCGCCAGTTCCTCTTTCTCATTCTTTGGCAGCCACAGCAGAGGCGTTCATGCTGTCTCTTCCCGTGCCCCCTATGCCGCCGAAAATATCAGACAACCCTGTGAAAGAGGAATCAATTTCCTCACAACACAATGTGCCCGGTCCTACGGCTACTACGAGCAACGAAATCTTCACACTTAGACAATTTGGGGCCCCGAAAAAGCGGAAAATCAGCCCAACGATGGAAGACGAAGCAGAGGACGTATCTAAGCCAAAAACAGTAACAACACCGACTGTAGAAACGCCCACGGCGTCCCTATCAACAGACGAATTTATGTCTGGCTCCACCTCCGTTTCGAGCGCTCTCGAAACTAAAGCCCAGAAGCGCCGGCAAAAGAAGAAGCAGAAAACGAAAACGGCATCTACTACTCTTCAACAACAACAACAACAACAACATCAAGGCGATAACACCGACGACAGCAAGGAATCTCCCAACTTCACGCCTTTCGACTACAGCAACGCGGAGTCCATCCTCCACGCAAAACCCACGGAGAACGGGAACCATGGGAATGGCGCGTACCGCGGCAAGCAAAAGCAAAAACGACAGTTCAACCCTTACGCCAAGGCGATGGATGCGCCGCAAGGGGCGCGGAAATCGAAGAAGGAAATCGAGGGCAAATCGTTTACGTTCCGCTGATGATATTCTTTCGCATTGGTGGAGAAGGAGGGGGGGGCGGGTGGTGGGTGGCGGGTTTTTGTAATTTTCTTCCTTACTCACACTAAAATTCAAACGGCATCCTTTTTTTTTTTTTTTTTTTTTTTTTTTTTTTTTTTTTTTTTTTTTTTTTTTTTTTTTCGTATGCGATACCTTCTACAATTTCTGGGGGCGCGGCGGCTTCATTATTTCCGTATTTAGTAGTGTTATCCTTTCTTGAGAGGTGTTTACACATTGTGCAGCAGTGATGATGCATTCACACGAGTTGTGATTCTACTTTTTCTACGTCATGCATAGCATATTTTTTTTTCTTTTTCCTTGGCGGTTGATGGCAATAGGTTATCCAAATATCTACGACTTTTTATCTTCCTTCATTTGCCCTGGCCCTCTTCGTTTTTTCTGTCTCCTACCTGAATCCATTCCTCCTTTTTTGCACCATGCAAATCAAGTTACGGGTAGTTAATAACTAGTCATTAAAATCTCCCTGGCGATTATTCGGGGAGAAATACGATCCTCCATATTCTTCCAAATGGGCTTCCATGGGATGAA